CGAAGCACTCCCCAAGTGTTCCCTCATCTTACAGAGATGACAGCGCCAGCCACCCTTCATCACTTGCGAGAGGCAAATGATTGAACGGAGGTGTGGGCAGTCGGTCACAGGTTATGGCATCGGCTGGGTCCAGGCACTGCTGAGGTATAGAATCTCATGATAAACAAGAATAAAAGAGGCCGTGCCTCCACAGAGGTCCCACTCTACCTGCGGGAGGCCAAAAATAAGCATGTAAACAGGTAAGAGAATTTTCTGGCTTGAGAAGCTAACGCACAGGATGAACCAACCGAGGACAGCAGTGGGGAATAACAACGAATAATAGCTCAGCCATCTGCAGCGGGCCCTCCAGGACGGCCCGAGCTCTCTCCCAGCCTCCCCAGACGAAGAAATCCATACTTTATCCTCAGGCAGCTGGGAGCTGTAAAGGCTTCTGAGTAAAGCAACCGACAAGACACAAACACAGGGCGCGATGATTATTACTCCCCGGGATGGCTGTGGCTGACACGGAGCGCTCCGCACATGCACCAGGCCACGCCCGCTCACTACGCAACAAAGGCCAGGCGTCTTCGCATCACCTGTGAGCATCTCTCCCAAGCGTTTTCACCAGGGCTGCTCAAAAGGAGCAGAACGTGGCTCCGTTTGATTTCCTCTGCTCTTCTCCACTCTTGCTAGAGTGGCCTTGCTAATGAAAACACATAAACTGAATAAACACTTGGGGAAGGCGCCATCTGTTCACCCTACAAACGTCAGTAGGAACAGCATTTGTTTACCAGCGGGGTCGTGAGCGAGGACAGGACACATCAAACCTTCTCAGGAACCTTCAAGGGGGATGGTCCTGGCAGGGGTGGGAGTGGAGGGAGTCATTTAACCCTTTCAGACCCACACAAGTCACCTCGATTTATAATCTCTGGTTGGAAGGGAAGGCTGCATATATCACAAACCACAGGTTGGGGCTTATCCGCACAGCCTTTTCCACATAAAGATGATAAAACGCCCCGTAAGAATTTACTATCAATATTACTTTTGAACTTTCAACTCTGTAGAGGAAATACCTAAAAAGACCGTCCAAGTTCAAGAGCAAAGGTGGCGGTAGAACTAGCCATGGCGTAGAAAAGTCTGATGCTCACTGCTCATGCTTTTCAAAGGATTCAACTCTTTAATAAGACTTCATTCAGGGCTGTAAGAAATGATGAAGACTGGTGTAGTTATCTGTGCCAGGAAGTGTTTAGGGAACATGCATTTTTAAATGATGACTTGGCCTTCGTCCATCCTCTAAAACAAAAGTCTTAGGAAAGGCCCAGGAAACTCAATCCCCCAAGGAAAGCTGTGGTTCATGGAAGAATGTCCCCCAAGGCAAACTGTAATGACTTCTGGCCAAGTGCCTGCTCATGTGTGTGATGAATGTGAATTATCGAGCAGGATCCATCCTTGTGGGGTGCCCAACCTGAGGAGGGAGCACGTGTGGGCTAAGGGGACACTTCCAGGCTCAGACACTTGGCCTTGATGAATCCCCAGCAGAAAGTTCTGGAGCAAGGTTTAAAGCACTTATGGGGAGCTGGGTCTCTTGTGATCCTATGTCCCTCCGCTCCAATCCCAAGCACAGCGGCTGAGTCACCACAGCCAGCCTGATGCTTCCCAGCTGTGCAGAGACCTGGCTGATTCTGTTCTTAAAGACCACAAGGTAGCAATTTAGAATCAGCTTAGTCAATAAAAATGCTGATTGCTGCCTTTCTACAGGCAGTTATGGAAAACATCTGTTGCCCATGGGTTGAGAAGGAACATCCTGACTCAACGCCAAAAATAAAAATTAAACATGAATGGATGAGGCATGTGAAAATATTAACAATAGCATTAATTCTACTTGTAAGATTCAGTCTACTCCTAATATTCAGTCAGCACTTAATGAGCACCTACTACATGCCAGGCGCTGTGCAAGATGCTGGGGATGAGACAATAAGGTAAGGTCCCAGCCCCAAGAAGCCAACAGTGAAGCGGCAAATGCCCACTGGTACCACTAATCATATTATGGCCCAAGCTCTTAGTATGTGCCAAGAGTTGTTCCTTTATTTGTATCAACTCTTTTCTTCTCATAAAATGAGGTAGGGTTTTTGATTAGCCTCATTTTACAGAGGAGAAAACTGAGATACAGAGAGATTAAGTACCTTGCCCAAGGTGATTAATGTGTCAGTAGATGAAGCTGGGATTTGGATCTCAGGGGTCCAGCTCCACCCTGACAGATGTATGAGCAAAGAAGTCTGAAATGGGGGAAGAAAACACCCCCAGCCACTGCCTCAAGAAGTTGGCATCTGGGTAAAACAGACAGGACCTCTAAGGATGCATAGGAGTTTATGTGGGAAGGGGGTGGTATGAGAAACCTTCCAGGCAGAGGAGTTACAAATGCAAAGCACAGACAACAGAAATTATCAAGTAAAATCATTTTTTTTTTTTTTTGGTAAAATCATTTTTAAAAGACGCAAACACACTTCTATTCCTATTTCTTAGGCAGGGAGTTCCTATACAGTTCCTAGCTAAGCAGTAGCTAGGACCAGAGTTTTGACATCCTTTGGTTCAGGGAAACAAGAACTGCAAGTGAATACAGTACAATGCTTCCTGTAGCTCATGCACACAACAGCAGCACTTGCTGGCCCTCGGTCCAAACCACATACGGGAACACCAATGTAAACTGATACAGCCACTATGGAGAACAGTATGGAGGTTCCTTAAAAAACTACAAATAGAAATACCATATGACCCAGCAATCCCACTACTGGGCATATACCCTGAGAAAACCATAATTCAAAAAGAGTCATGTACCACAATGTTCACTGCAGCTCTATGTACAATAGCCAGGACATGGAAGCAACCTAAGTGTCCATCATCGGATGAATGGATCAAGAAGATGTGGCACATATATACAATGGAATATTACTCAGCCATAAAAAGAAATGAAATTGAGTTATTTGTAGTGAGGTGGACGGACCTAAAGTCTCATACAGAGTGAAGTAAGTCAGAAAGAGAAAAACAAATACTGTATGCTAACACATATATATGGAATCTAAGAAAAAAAAGGTCATGAAGTACCTAGGGGTAAGATGGGAATAAAGACACAGACCTACTAGAGAATGGACTTGAGGACATGGGGAGGGGGAAGGGTAAGCTGGGATGAAGTGAGAGAGTGGCATGGACATATATACACTACCAAACGTAAAATAAGATAGCTAGTGGGAAGCAGCCACGTAGCACAGGGAGATCAGCTCGGTGCTTTGTGACCACCTAGAAGGGTGAGATAGGGAGGGTGGGAGGGAGACGCAAGAGGGAGGAGATATGGGGATGTATGTATACGTATAGCTAATTCAATTTGTTATAAAGCAGAAACTAACACACCATTGTAAAGCAATTATACTCCAATAAAGATGATAAAAAAAGAAAAAGAAAAAAGAATGCGTTGCTAGAGACTTGGGCTCAGAAGTCCTTAGCAGTACCAAAGAGGAAACACTGAAATGAAATACCTCACCAAACCAGTCTGGCAATGAAGAGAAAGGAGGCAGGGTGCGGGAGGGATGTGGGGTGCGGCGCGGGGAGGAGAGGAGGCTGGGACATGCTGCAGAAGGCCTGACTCTACCAGGCTGGCAGGTGTGCCCCTCAATCTATTTTCACAATTTCAGCAGATTAGCAACGGCTTTGTGCCTCAGAATATGAAGAAGTTCAAGTCCTTGAAGAGACAGGAATTCCACAACAAGTAAATTAGAAAGATACAAAGGTTGTTTGCAATGTGCAATAAATTGGCAGGTTTAAACATAGCTTTTCTGAGGTTTATCTTCCCTGAGACACTTAATGGTAATTCACACCCTCTGAACAACAGTCTTTGAAATGAATATGACTTAGTGAATCACATTACATAAACCATTAAATGACGAGATGCAGACATGAATGCCAACTGTTAAGTTTTAGTTGCTCTAGCCATCGGGAATAATTGATGGATCATCTCCACTTTAAAAACACGTTATGTTCCCAAAGTTCGCTTACAGTTTGGCTGTTTGGAATTCAAGAGTTACTTCCTTCCTCCCCCCACACACAAGCCATGTGAGATGTGGGTGTGGTACCCAAGGGAGAACACATAAAACAGGCAGAGGGTGCTGGGAGTTCTCTGGAGGCTAATTCATTCTTGAGGAGACTGCAGTCAGAGTTCTACAGAGGTGGACACACACGTCTGCACTCTCCCTGCCACGGGAACAAATCCTGCATCTGCACAGAACTAACTGGTGGTGGTTCCCGAACCGCTAGCAGCGGTCGGATTTCAGGAGGAGGCTGGAGAGAAGGATGAGGGAGGGCAAGGGGCCATGAGGCAGGGGCTCTGAGGAAGACACCAGAACCACGGGGGCATGCAGCTCTAGCTGATGGACAAGGCCAAGGCTGCCGTTCCTTCTTCTCTGCCCGGCTCCTGGACACCCCACTCTGGTCCGCCCCTGGGATGGGGCCTCTTCCCTTCTAGGGCTCCCACACTGGGGGCTGGGATCAGGGTTCTTCTGCACCCCGACTCCCCACCCACAAACATGCACGGCAACTTCTCTGATGTCGGAACACCCATTCAGGTCTTTGATGGTTTTCTCAGAACTTTCCTGCCGGTAACCTAGGGAAACGGGGTGCTCACACACATGCATCGACGTTGAGAGGAACTGCTTGTAACGAGCAAATTAAACTGAGACGCAGACCACAGTTCCCTCCGATTCAAATATATAAGTAATACATACGTAGGCATGTACACACAGATATCTACTTGAATATGGAAAATCAGAGTAAAATTCAAACGACACACCCACTGATATCACAGGGCGCGGTCCACACATAAATCCAAAAACTGACAGCTCGGAACCAGACGCTCCAGAGGAGGACGGCGAGGGTGGGCAGGGAGCCGCTGAACACACAGACCTGCCACCTCGCGTCACCAAAACGCAGGAATGACACGAGCCTCCCCGTGCCGAAGGCTGCCCCCGACTTACCGGAACTTCAAAGGCCTCCTGGGTGTCATCCAGCATCTGGATTCTGACGGACATGAGTTTTCCTGAAGGCGTCGGGGGAGGCTTCTGTCCATGTTCCAAGGTACTGATCCCCGAATTCTCCGCTGTCCCCAGTCTCGATCCTGGAGTTGGCCTCTGCTCTATTTCTCCCATGATGAGAGCAGATTATATGATGCCTGCAGGAAGCAGAGAGAAAAAAATACATCAGGAGACTCACTGAGACCACCTTAGTAACATTGGTCGCCTTCTGCCGGTCACTGTGGCCACGTCCCCGAAGCACAAGATGGCCAGTTTCCACCCCCCGTGCAGGAATCACACGAGCTGATAAGCGTTCGGCTCATTCACACACAGCGTCACCTTTAGCCACTCAAGGCATGCAAATATTTGTGCATATTTTATCCTTCTGCATACTTTTTTTTTGCGGTATGTGGGCCTCTCACTGTCGCGGCCCCTCCCGCTGCGGAGCACAGGCTCCGGACGCACAGGCTCAGCGGCCACGGCTCACGGGCCCAGCCGCTCCGCGGCATGTGGGATCCTCCCGGACCGGGGCACGAACCCGTGTCCCCTGCATCGGCAGATGGACCCTCAACCACTGCGCCACCAGGGAAGCCCCATCCTTCTGCATACTTTTACATAGTTTATCCTTTTCTAGTTTTACAGTCAGCTCTTAATACGATAGATTCAGTTGTGTTCTACGTATTATTAGTTAGGGTCTACCATGAGCTAGGCACCACTTTTCACACACTTGCGGTCTGCTGGGAAGATAATGAGCAGTGCCTAACCCATATCATTAGCACCCATTAGTTTACCTTTTATGGATCATGGAACATACCAAGTAATGTGGGCATTATCAAGATAAATAGATAAAACGTATCTTCTAGCTCCCGAGTTTATAATCTGATTGAGGAAACGAAACACACACTCACACAAACCCAGGTGATGTCAGGTAGGGTCTTTTCTCTCGATTTCTTCTTTTCGTCCTAATTAATTTTTTTTCCTGCCACCCTCCCGCAGTTGTTCCCCCTCTCCCAGGAAACCATTCTAGGTATTACAGTATTGACAAAGTTATCTTCTCCATCATGCAGAAGGTAGGAACTGAACTCCACTGAGTCTCAAACGTTGGGTAATGCTTGGAAGGAGACAGGAACACACAAGGAGAAGGAATTCCAGGGAAGTAGAACAGCATCAAGAAAGCTATGGGACAGAAATCAGGTGGCATTTAGGAAGACAAGTGAGAATCAGTGCTGCAGAGTTAAAGATGCATTTGGAAACTAGGTTGGAATCAGACCACAAAGGACATCAAAGGCCTAGCTGAGAGATGTGGTCTTCACCCTGCAGGGAGTCACTGAATAAGAATAATGACACGACGAAGGTAGAACTTGAGAGAAATGCATGTGAAGATGATCTCTACTAATGCGCTGGAAAAAGAGACGGGCTGGCAGGGGTTGGGGGAGTCCAGTTACAAAGCTAAGGCAACAATTTGAGCTCGAGGGGATCAGCTTGAACAGTGGCGACGGAAATAAAAAGATGATGCTATGAAACCCACTTTTATGGAAAAATTAACCCGGTGTTGTAAATGGTTAGCCACTGAGAAGAAGGAGATTAAAGTATAACAGTGACCAGAAAGTTTTAAATCAGGGCAGAAGTGAAGAAGTGGGAGGGGAAGGTGTGTGTGTGACTGGGGACACATTGAAGGCTTTAAAAGGATATCCAGCAGGCTGTGGTGGAGGTGGAGCTGGATTGGGGCTTTGGGTTCAGAGTCCATCTCGCTGTAGAAGTGAAAGCCAGGGTGAGAGTGAATGTGAAAGGGGTGGGGGGGGGACATGGCAATGAAAAAGCAAAAAGAACAAACATGCCCAGCCATGGGGGTTGCTATGGACTGAACTGTGTCCCCCCAAATTCTTACCTTGGAGCACTAACCCCATGTAGCTCAGAATGTTACGGCATTTGGAGACAGGGTCTTAAAAGAGGTGACCAATTTAAAACAGTGATTAAGATGGGCCCTAATCCAATCTGACTGGTGTCCTTTTAAGAGGAGCAAATTTGCACACACACAGAGACACCAGGCATGCACAGAGGAAAAGCCATGTGAGGACACAGGGAGAAGGTGGCCGTCTGCAAGCCGAGGAGAGATGCCTCAGGAGAAACCAACCCTGCCAACACCTTGATCTAAACTTCCGACCTCCAGAACTGTGAGAAAATAAATCTCTGTTAAGACACCCAGCCTGTGGGACTTTGTTATGGCAGTAAATTCACACAAGGGCCGATGGAGAAGAGGCAGAGAAAGAATGACCCTTTGTCTCAGTGACAAAGAAAGTCACAGAAGGGGCACTCAAGGGTCACCTGTGGTGTAAGGTATAGACCTTAGGGCTGCATCTTACGAGTCATCCTTCAGCTCTTTTCTTCAGGAAAAAACATCCAGTTTGTGAGCCTCATTTTGTAGGTTCTTCTTGACTAACGCTCTTCCTTCTCCTGAAGGGTCAGTCAGGTTCCTTCCCAGAAGTTTCCCACCAAATTCCATATGGGAACCTCCCCTTCCTCTCAGTGAAACCTCGAACATTCTCCCTGTGACACAGAGGGCTGGCCCTGAGGTCAGTAGAGTAGAAACTATGGAGTCACCTCAATAAGATGGGTCATTGGATCAAACCACCCTGGCCTAAAAAGACACACCCTTTGACTGAAAAGGGAGAGGGCCTGACCACCACCCAGGAAACACCATTTACTACTTATTTCTCCCACACTCATTTTCCCCACCAACTTTCCACCAAAGCCTGTAAGAGATTATTATTCGTCCCTATGCAATCCTTTGAGATTGGACTTCTGTGTCACCATGCTAGTTAAGGACCAGCCTTTTGAGAACTACTACTCCTTTCTTGAATGTCCATCTATGATTTCACAGGTCTGCTATACAAGTAAGTACCTTTCTGATTTCTCCCCCAAATAAGTTTTTTTTTAAGAACCTAATTCCAATCTGTTTGATTATGTGATTATCTTTTGCTTAATCGTCTCTTGGTCTTAAGACACAACTAGACTTTGCTCATCTACAATGCTTTACACCGAAGTGAAAAACAGATCACCTACATTTGTTCAATGAATCAAATGTGGCTGGTATAGATCTAATTAACTATGGCATCATTGTGTTTAAAATAATCTTCACAAACCAGGCAGAATTATTCCCCTATATGTTTTCTATTCATGGTCTCATGGTTAAAAATAAACACAAGCACTAAAGAAAGCTTTCACATCAGTCCAGTTTGCCTTCCCCATTGCCAGCCTCCTCTTTGCACTCATTCCTACTTTGGTGTTGATCCCTCCCTGCCTCTGTAAACATCCTCCACTGCTCACCTCCAACCCCACCTTCTGTTCCCCGCACTCCACCAGCATGGACAGGCCCTGTCCTCAATCACTGATGCTGGGCCTGACCACTTGGCCTCTTCTCGCTCTGAGTTGAGAGGGGTAGGTCCGGGCTGTGGCTCTGATGCCCATCCAGGGAGCCGACGGCAGGGAGGTCAGGGTTTATTCTCTCACGTCACCCCACCTTAAAGGTGCTCTAAACTCATTTTCTCTTTGTCCTACCTAAGCAAAGAGCAAGGCTCTCATCCTCGAAATGGAACCCTTTCTCTCCACGCTGGCCCAAGATCCCCAGAAGAACATTGTGATTTTTAACAGCTTGGCACTTAAAAATTAAATTGAGCCAGTGATTAATAGACATTTGGTACCTTAACTTCATCTCTTTTTAGTCTTCAAATGATCTCATGCCTATATTTGTCCTACTTCTGGATATTAACTTTTCAACAAAGCATGTCACACTTTTTGTTTTTATAGCTGAAGGCAGATTGTTACTGTTCATGGAAAGTGCTGTTTAACTCAAACATAAATCCAGCCAAGAGTTTTGAGCGGAGCAGCCTAAGAATGTCAAGGGAATATCTGAGGAACGCTGTCAAGTCATGAATGGGTAACCGTAACCGATGCTGGATAGCAAAATTGGTGAATCCAGTAATAAAACACAGCCTTCTACATCACATACCTAAGAAACCTAAAAGCCTCCTGTTTATAAAGCAATCCATGCTCTATTCCAACTTTACCTCCATAACTTCCTCCAACTTCTGAATTCCTTAAGAAAGAGTCAAGGTAAAAAAGATGAATATTTCTTTCCTTGTACCATGTTATTACTAACATGATCATTCCAGACCTAAAAGTAAAGAGCTGTTTGTGAAACTACCTTCTTCTTTAGATCTATGTGAAAAGTTAGTTAAAAAGGAAATAATGACTACAACAAAAAAGCAGTAAAAACTTTAACTGGCAAAGAAAAGATAAAAAACTAGAATTGTCTTGTTATAGTCTCTTGGCTTAAAGGCTTCCTCTTGGAATTCACCCAAAAGCAATAAGGAAAACACACACAAAAATGCTAACTCCATCCCAGAGGAACCTGGAAGACATCTGTAGCTTTGAACCATGAAACATGAGAAAGAGTTGCCAAACTGCAGTGAAGGTCAGACAGAGAAGGAAAATTCTTGGAGACCCCATGCCTGCCAGAGCCATGCTCCCCAAATAAGTAGGATATCCAGCAATAACTTTCTGAAAAGAAGGGCAACAGACACGCAGGTAGCACTAAGAGCTTCCCTGGATGCAGTGTGGTGGGAGAAATCAGGAAGCAGGCAAGGTCGAATTGAATGAGAAACCACACAGGTAAGACATATTAGCAGGAAGCAGTCTGTTGCCAAGGCAAAGTGAAAAAGAGAGACCCCACTAGGAACACAACCAGTCTCAGCAAGCTAGAGAAAAATAAGGGTTGAAAGGATTACTTACACACACACACACGCACGCACGCAACCTCAGGTCACAAGAATCCCCACTGGCATGGGACATGGCCCTGTCTCCTGCTCACGTGAAGCTCCTGTAAATAGCTAGTTCATAAAGAATTCATCTAATAACAAAAAAGGACCTTTACAAAGATGCTGCAAAAAGAGGAAAATGAAAATGAATGACAGATGAAAAACACCACCAAAGCAATGTTATATGCAACAGATGAAAATTTTGCCCAAACACACTGTCATAAATTAACAAAACAAAGAAATAACTGATTCTATCTACAAAAACAGAAGAGGATTTACAGGAGTTCAGGGAAGCATGAGAAGGAAATAAAGCATGAGGGCAGACCTCAGGGTGAAAAAAA